GGGATTGACAATAGGCAACTTTACATACTCCGTTCTGTATGTAGTGTCCAGTGATCAGGTGAACTGAAATACTTCACTTCACTTTGATATTGAAGATCATTTTTAGTATAGCCATGATTACTGATATGTAGCTTTAAACAAACCAGAAATCCGAAATGAGTAATATTACTTACAGATTTCTTCTGGAATTGATCGACTGTCCGCCTATATATAGGGAATTTGGCTATGTATACTTAAAAAAATCGGATCAAACGCATGTACGAGTAGTAATAGATGGCTATAATAGGTAACCTCTGCATGAATTTGTTTTAAACGTTAATCAACGTCTGCCATGGAAACAGTAACTTGAATGTTCAATGTCAAATTAGCGTCAGCAATTAGTTCTTTATTTTAATTATTAGCAGCAATTTGTAAATTTTTAGCGCATTTTTCAAGACCGGACCCACTTCTGCCGTTATGAACTACGTTTCTAGGGGCCTGGTCCTAGAGTCCTGGAATTTCTTGCAGTAGATACTCTATACCTTGAAGGTTTGCCAGAGAGCCATCAAATTTCGCAGTCTAAATGTCCCCCCCCCCCCCCCACGAATTATTTCCTGAGATGCTGTTTTTGAAAGTAAAACGTGCATAATTTTTACATACGACAACCAATTGGTCCCAGTTTGTGGTGCCAAGTTAAACTTTAGAAAATGGGGGGGGGGCACACGTTGTACCCTTCATGGTATTCTAATAAAAGGTCTCATCGAAATAAATTGGTTTGTACAAACTATAACCACAGATATACGTAAAATATATCTGTGCTATAACTTTCCCGTGCGACTCAGTGAGCGACGGGGCCGGGGGGGTTAAAAATTAATTTTATCTCTCACTGTATTCTAATTAAAGGTCTCAACGAAAGGAACCGTTTTCTACCAACTACTGCCCTTCTTTCTGTCCTCTTATCAAAGTACGGGGTGGAGGGGGGAGTGGAACTAGTTTTATCCTTCATGGTAGGTACTCTAATGAAAGGTTTCAAGGAAAGGAATTAATTTCTACCAACCATAGCCCTCCTCCTCGACCTCTTATCGAAGATCGGGGATATTCCCTTATCCCTCAAGAACGGACTGTCGGAAGAGGGTACTCACAAAGGGCGATTGAGACGTCTGCTAGAAATATATTCATTGGTGATGTCAAAACAAAAGTTATTTCGTTTAAAAAAAATGCGCTTTATCTGCACAAGAGTTGTGCACAATTTATACTTGTTATCTACGTCACCTTTTTTTGTTCCGAAGAATGTTAGTTTCGATCAGATTATTTTTTCCGTACGGTTTTAAAAATTGGGCTTTATCTGCACAAGAATTGTGCACAATTTATACTTGTTTCTTATTATGAACTGGATATATAGTTATGTCAATATGTTTTTTATATAAACCAGTATGTGTTTCAGTTGATAATGAATAAAAATCGCGTTTGTTAGTGACTTTTGTTTAACCAAAAAACATTAAATCATAAAGTCGCTTTCAAAATTCAAAATTTTACTATGAAAACCAATTTCACAATTTCTCCTAGACTCAGTCAAAATAGTAGTATATTTGCAAGTTGAGCCAATTTTGACCTTTGGCTGATTGAAATGTCCCCTAGGTCCGTTTAAGAAAAGTTATATCTTCGACAATCGATGGCAGAAACTTATTCCACCATGGGTATCGATGAGAAATGTTTAGTTCACCTTTACTGTGCCAACCTAGACCTGGTTGACCTGGTCCTCGTTTATTTTAGGTAACCACAGTGTCCTCACTATACGTTTTGCGGAAAGTAAGGGTAAAAATGATAGTACCTATCACTATGGCAATCAAATTCAATCCGACTCTCTTCAGTACAATGTGATTTTTTCATAAACGTTACGCAAAGAATTCACTATACGAATATCGAATTCCTCTCCAGCTCTTACTTTATGGATTATAAATGGTTGATAATTGATGTCTTTTAGAGAAACGTTTCTAATATTTATTTTATAACATCTCATGAATTAAACATTTAACAATAACTGTTAAACAGTGTTTGTATTACGATCCGCAAAGTATACCAATAAAAAATTATTAGCACACGCGTTGTCCCTTCGCCTCTAAAAGCTTAATATAAACTAAACAAATCGGAGGAATTAAAAGATGGAAAAGAATTTATGCTTTGTGTGTGGTCCATCACGAAGAAGTTGGGTGAAGAGTCTTCACGAGAACAATCGTCTGCTGAACACTTCGAGTGCTACTTAGATCAGTATGAAGTACCAAGATCGGTATGTTGCTCTGTTTCCAAAACTGACCTCAAATCGAGTGCTACACGCATACGTTAAAAAAATTCAAATTCCCCGTTGACTTGCAAAATTATCAAAACCGTATAATAAAGAAGGAATCTATCATTGTTAATGCTTCTTCATTCATAAAAGAATTTAAAGAGCATCACTTCTATCAACAAACAAAGAGCTACTGTTTCACGCGTGGTAATAAACTACTAGTCATCAAGCACTTAAAGAAAATAAAAACTAATAAAAGACGGACCCATAATTCGTAGGTGGTTTAATAGTTAAGAATAGTCGTCGCTTCGTAACCTTTAGTTTAGTGCGTTATATTTTTAGATGGGAACTAACACAACTCTATCCTTTTCTTGACCTTTCTTAATTAAGTCTTGCTTTCTATTGCTTAGTACTACTACACTACTGTTAGTACTCGAATTTCATTTACATCGTTCTATTTTCGGCGTTTGCTATTTCTTTTTAGGGTGATTGGTAGGACTGACGAAAATTGTTGATTTGACTACTCAATTGCTAATGGATTAAATTAACGGTATGTGGCACATTGATAAGGTGTTGAAACGATTAGTCAAGGCTTCAGGTTTTTAATTAGCAAACATATCTTTTAATTATCCGAAGATTCTTATTCATTTTTGACTCGACTCACCTGACCTTACTAAAAATGCCATGTAATCGCAATAATAAACCCCGGTAAGTTAGTAAGTACATGTAACTATTATTCTGAACGTCCGTTTACCTAAATGTTAACCGATTTGGCTCGGAGCTTGTGTTTCCAAAAACAAAATCTGAAAATTCGCTTTCGTTCTCGAGAAAATGGGGAAGAAAAAGCTGTAACGAAGCACCTCTTTTCGTACAGGAATTATACCAGCATTAACGAACACCCAGTATTTCGAAGAACTCAAGCGAGCGCTTCTTTACGAAAAATTGTAGTTCTTGACGTATTTATTTTCTAGAAATTGCAAATAGAAGGTAAAAATAATTGCTTTCATTTGTAGCATCGTTTTAGCCGCCGATAAGGAAAATAAGATACTGTAATTTGCCGTAGTATTATCCTTGCAGCACCCGAAAGCTCTCTGAAGAGGAGGAAAAATAATATTGTATGATTTCAGCTCCATTATCTAATGATGGGTCGATTTGAGTTGCTTAATGGTAATTTAAAACTAGGATGAAAACGGGAAAGGTCGCTCGCTTACACGTAGAAAAAACCTGATAAAGTTAACCTGTCGCTTCCATTTCCACATTTTCTTAGGAATTCTATATACAGAGTGGCCCAACGAGAAGTATACAGAGGGCTTTTAGGGTATTAAATTTAGAAATTTCGAAAAATCCTCGAAGACGTCAATTTTGTACCTATTCAAGGGAGACAACTTTTGGAACACAAACCACGAACCCAAGTCTTCACCCCTCTAGGTAGGGAGCTTAACCCCTAAAATTTTAAATGGAATCCTATGGCAAATGGCACTTTATTTGAAAGTCAATTTAATCGTGATTACTAATATGCTTTGCTTTTTAAATTCTATTGATTGTGCACAACAGTTGTGCACAATTTATACTTGTTTTGTTTGATTTGTAGGTTTTATTTTTAATTTTTCCTTAATACTCTCTCTTTCTACTTTTTAGTTTTAGTTCAAGATAATATTTCCTGTAAAAAGCTATACGCCGTTGGAAATAAACTATCATTATTATTATTTTCCCGGCAATACAAAACGAACCAATTGAACTGTGTAACAAATTTCCAAAAATAAGAAAAAAAAACAACCGTGTCCGTCCATCTGCCGACTGGATATCAAATCTTTGTCCCAAGAAAAGAAGAAACACACAAATAAAAAATTAATATGAATTTTAGCACTGTCCATTAGGCACAACGGATGGGAAGTCTCTTCTTTTTGATTTTAAATTTAAATTAAAATCATAATCAATATTGTTGTTTCAAGTATAGAAATAGTATATTGTACAATGAGCATGAAATGATACCCATTTCCCACGAGCATGAATTCATACACGTAGGAAATAGGTATTCCACGCAAATGTTACTCTATACTTTTTTCTACGTCTATGATGGTTTGATTTTCTAAACCTGGTTTTCAAATGGGAAGCCTCTTCTTTTTGATTTTAAATTTAAATTAAAATCATAATCAATATTCATGTTTCATTTTTCAAGTATAGAAATAGTATATTGTACAATAAGCATGAAATGGTACCCATTTCCCACGATCATGAATTCATACACGTAGGAAATAGGTATTCCACGCAAATGTTACTCTATACTTTTTTCTACGTCTATGTTGGTTTGATTTTCTAAACCTGGTTTTCAAATGGGAAACCTCTTCTTTTTGATTTTAAATTTAAATTAACATCATAATCAATATTCATGGTTTAAGTATAGAAAAATAGTATATTGTACAATGAGGATGAATGAATACCCATTTCCCACGAGCATGAATTCATACACGTAGGAATAGGCATTCCAAGCAAATGTTACTCTATAACTTTTTTCTACGTCTATGATGATTTAACTTTCTAAACCAGACATACACTATAATATATGAATTTGGAAAAATAAACGGTTTTATTTATTAATGATCCCTCTCTTGTTCTGAAGTTCTTTTCAACAGAAAT